CTCAATGTAGTCGGAGCTGCAGCACCCTAAACGTGTGAGCAATACTCGAGACTAGTGTTATCTGGGCCTTGTATAGGTGAGGAGGTCATGCGGAGAAAAATACTTCTTAGCCCTAAACAAATAATAATAATAATAATAATAACAATAAATCATCTTTATTTAGGGGGCGAAGTTTAGCATAATGCTACTCTGCCCCAAAAAAAAAGAAAAACTGAAAAAACAATACAAATAACATAAATACATTGGATAAGTTAGAGTAATACAAATGTAGGTGTATAAAAAATATGGTATACAACATATATAAGTGAAGGCTATTCAATATTTCATGATTTAAAAGTCATTGGCGTGGGGTGACAGATAAATTTTATCAACTAATTTATATACTTCCATTCAACATAAATTTCTTCATATGTCTTTTAAATTCATCATATGAATAGCAATTTTGTGGATCGAGGTAGAGCATTGTAAAAATAATTGCGTTGTAGGTGAAGCATTTACGAAAGAATGATTTTTTCCTGTGGAGGGGCATTGTGAGTGTTTCAGTGAATCGAATGTCCCTAGAATGGATATTGCTTCTAGATATCAGCATATTTCTCAAAAACGGCGGAATGAATGACAGTAAAAGCCTGTGTGTGTAAGTAACTAGGTGTAGCTCATACAGTTCATTCACTCTCAACCACTTCATGTCATTGAAAAAAGGGCTGATATGATCATATTTTTTTCAAATTATTGATATACCTACAACATGAGTTTTGGATTTTTTGGAGACATTAAGTCAAGAATGGAAGATAAACTAAATCGCAATAACTAATTTTGGACATTACCAAAGATTCACACAAAATTTTTTTAGTTAGTAGTAGTTAATGTCAAGAAATTGTTTATTAAGATATAATTGACGTAAAATTGAACTCTTATTGATATTATTTACATGTAGTATGAAATTTAGACATTCATCTAAAGTTACGCCCAAGTTTTTCACTGACTCACTTACTTCTATAGTCTCGCCATTTAATTTTACTTTAAAATTTCTTTTCTCATCACTTCTAAATAGTTTTGGTGAAAAAATGATGACTTTCGATTTAAAGGATTCAACTGAAGGTTATGATTTTTTGCATACATACTAATAGATGTTACATCTTCATTTGCCTCAGATTCAGCATTTCGAATGTCGTGATTATGGAAATGACTGTAGATCTGTGAATCGTCGGCAAAGAAGTGGATATTACAATATTTAACAACTGAATGGAGATCAGAAATATACAAAATGAATAGGAGTGGCCCAAGTACAGCCCCTTGAGGCACTCCGGGCGAAATGAGGCACTTTGAAGATAGAACCATGTCAACGTGTACCTTTGATATCGATTTCCTAAGAAGCTCTGAATAATTTTTGAAGCAGAGTCAGAAAAACCAAAATATTTGCACTTGGCTACTAGAAGACGATGATTTATGGTATCGAATACCTTAGAGATGTCAAGAAGAACTAATGAATGTGATCATATGTTGATTCCAGGCTCTAACAATGTTATCGGTTAAGTCTAATAGGGCACATGCAGTGTTATATCCTTTTCGATAGCCGCATTGTTTGAGAGGCAAAAATTTTATGTTTAGAGAGATAATCGTAAATTTGGGCGTACATTGCTTTTCTAATAATTTGGATAAAACAGGCAAAATACTAATTGGTCTTAAATCATAATATAATTTTGGCTTACTTATTTTAGCTAGAGGTAACACTAATGTTTCTTTCCATGATTCTGGCAAGAATCCCCTTTCTAAACAGATATTTATGATGTGTAAAATGTGACCTAAATCGCAAAGAAGCATAGTTTTAGCATTTGAGTGACACAACCATCGCTTCCTAAGGCATTCGATTTCAGAGACTGGAACATCGATTTTAAATCAGTCATATCGATTGGTTTAAACTTCAATCGATCACTAGAATAGTGATTCTTTTCATAATGCTCAATCTTCTCTGTGCATGAACAAATAGCGTTATTAAAAATGGAACAGAAATAGTTATTAATGTCATTAGGGTTCTTTAAATGTAAAGGAATATCGGTATTTGTGACTGTTGGATACGCATTGATTTAAGGATCTATAAAACATTTTTGAATCATTTTGTTGACGGAGGGATAATAAATATGCTGCTTTTCATATCTAATTTGAGTTAAAGTTGAATAATATAAATAAATGAGTTGAATATATATAACTCAATATCTTTCTTCAACGAAAACGTTTTTAAAAAAAGATTTATTTTTGAGAAAGACCAAATACAATGATGTTAATTGAATGAGTTCTGAATCGAGACTGACTGCAAAGTTCATTATACAAACCAAAGTAAAGAACAAATGAAATACAATACTGTAACTGATAAGAAAGGCACGTGGAGGCAAAAGTCCTTGTTCAGCATATTCTTCTCTGTAGACTGGTACATAACTCCTCCACCCCTAGAATGAAGCTTCCCCTGGAAGGTGAATTTCTTTCTTCTTATATCTTGAACTGGAATCTTCTCTTCTAGTGCGTTTTGTGGGACTTGGACCTTCTTCTTTCATCTCGGCTAATTCAATGTCGATTTCTAACTTGGATGCTTTCTTGTTTCTCCATCTTCTATATAAAATTATGCAGCAGATGCTTGAAAATACGAGATATAGTAATATGGTCCCAAATACTGGGTTTTCCAAAATTTTCTATGGAATTTTCTTCTAAAATTGGTAACATTCGATTAACTTGCAATTCTGGTAAATTTAACGTTTTCAGAGTAATTTGTGTCTCTGGGATATTTTGTTTCATAAAATGGAAATCCATTTTGTCAGCTACGAGGGGCTTTCCATAGGTTTTGTCTTGAAAGATAAGTTCATTGTCTTGGAATGATATTTGGCATTCACTGGCTTTGACTAAGAAAATGCCAAGTAATGACTTTGTATCGATTTGCTCCTTGCATTTAATTTTCAATTTTTCTTCGGTGAGAAATACAGCTAAATACTGGTTAATTTCGGGAATAAATTCGATGTGATTTTCTTCAATCTGAAGCTTCGTGTATCTACATGGTTCTGTATGATCTTCAGTAATTATTGACTTCTCGCATTGGGCTTTGTGATTGGCTAATATACGATTGGGGCATTGATAGATTCTACCTTGGGTACAAATCTCGTGCAGGGGTTTGATCTCATTTCGATCAGATTTTAGCAAATACTTATAATTTGGGATAATAGTGACGAATTCTGATTTGTGCATCAGAGTCGGTATAGGTAACATATAATAAAGATCGAAATGTTCAGGATAATCTATAGGAATAGATAGAAATAACTTATTTGATTCTGATCGATTTTACAGCTGATAGAAATAATAGATTCATAATCTAGCATATTTTCATACTTTACTTCAAATTGTAATTCATTTTTATAAAATGTGGATATCTTACGGAGTTCTTGAAATAATTCTCTAGTCCTTATTATACTGGGATGCATGGTTTTCAATTTGCAAAAAGTTATCGAATTTTCGATATCTTGTAAAATATTCAATATGGCATTATAAAGGATAATTAATTGATTGATAATGTCCTTCGCTAAAAGAATATCCTGGTTTGTTGTCTGGTTCAATAAAATATGTTTCAATTGTAAAATGTTATTTCTTAATGTCATCTCATTGTGCTGTATATCTTGAATAGTCCCGTTAAATTTTGCGACAAGTTTACTGAATATTGCATTCTCAGCTGATTTTGAATATGATGCTGATTTTCTTGTAAATGAGAAAAAATTTTATCAATACGTTCTCCATCGTCGGAGTCTAAATTTCCTGTTATTGTTTTTACTACATAGCCTATGCCATTAAAAAGTCCTCTCTTATTGCGAGTCTTTTGAGAATGAGATTTAATGTATTCGGTTTTCTCTTGAATCAAGCTCCTTATATAAGATACTATCTTACTATAATTTTCTAGCTCGTTATTAATCTTAGAATGATTTCTATAACTATAGTTAAGATTACTGTATTGAATATTCAAATCTTCATATTCCTTATATAAAGGTGATAGATCATAATAGTGCACAAAAGTATGTTTTGTCTTTTGTAGCCTAGCTGTGCCTAAATTTACTGGCAAAATTCCTAAATTGTTCGTTATGTTTCTTATTTCTGCTCCGCATCCGAAATAGATGAGGTATCTGAAATATTAGTAAATTTAAATTGATAAGTTTTCTTCCTGGGCCTTTTAATATTGGATAAATGGATATTTTTGGAAGTATTGGCATGTGTGGGATCTATCTCCGCTCTTTTTAATTTCTTATCTATACTAATTAATTTTCCTTGCTTATACTTATTTTTAGTTTTCTGTTGCTTCTGCTTATTCTTAACATATACCTTGTTAGGAATATCAGGCAAAACTTCACGTTTCTCATTTGCTTTATTTATAACTTTTTCTTTATTCTGTAATATCTTTTCATTTAAATTCCTATATACTAATTTCATTTTTTCCTTATGATTCTGTAAATAATTATTTAATAATTGCTTATCTATGTCTATATTAAAAGGTGATTCTGTTTCATTAACATTTACTTCTATTCTAGATAAAAAGTCCGCATTTGTGTTTGATTTGCCTTTCCTGTAAACAATGTCAAAATCATGTTCTTCTAATCTTAAGCGCCATCTTAGTAATTTTGAACTAGCATCTCTAACTGAAAATAACCATTGGAGGCTTTTGTGATCTGTTACAATAGTAAACTTACGTCCGAAAATATAAGGTCTGAAATATTTTACTGCATATACGATACTTAGAAGTTCTTTTTCTGTCGTGCTATACTTTGTTTCTGAATCACTTAATGTTCGTGAGGCGTACGCTATTGGTAAGTCTGAGCCTAATTTACCTTGGGATAATATTGCGCCGATTGCATAATTACTTGCATCCGTAGTTATCAAGAATGGTTTGGAAAAATCCGGATATTGGAGTATCGGATCGTTTGTCAATAAAGTCTTGCATAATTCGAAACATTTAATATAATCTGCGTCATTGGGATTAATAATTGCATCTTTTTTCAATCTGATTGTCAATGGCTTAGTGATTTTCGCAAAATCTTTTATAAACTTACGGTAATAACCTAAAAGTCCAAGGAAGCCTTTAATTTGCTTCTTAGTTTTTGGTATTTTAAATTCTGTAATTGCCTTTATCTTATCGGGGTTTGGTTTCACACCATCCGCCGTTACAACATGACCTAAATACGATACTTCTTTTCTAAGAAATTCCGATTTGTCTAACTGTATTTTAAAATTTGACTGACGTAACCTTTCAAAAACTTCTCTAAGTCGAGAAATATGTTCCTGTAAACTAGTACTGAATATTATAATGTCATCTAAATATACTAAGCATTTTTCATTTTGAATACCTCTCAGTATGTTATCCATTACTCGCTGGAAAGTCGCTGGCGCGTTTTTTAGTCCAAATGGCATTCTTGTGAACTCGTAGTGTCCATTTTCTATATTAAATGCAGTTTTTTGAATATCATCTTCTGCCATTTCTATTTGGTGAAAACCTGAAGCTAAGTCTAATGTTGAAAAATATTGGCATCGCCCTAATTTATCTAACAAATCTGTTATGTTTGGAAGAGGATAACGATCTCCCAATGTTTTTTCATTCAATTTTCTATAATCAATGACTATTCTCCATTTTTGCTTTCCCGATGCGTCTAATTTTTTTGGAACAATCCATATAGGTGAGCACCACGCTGAATGACTCTCTCTAATAATTTTTGATCAAGCATTGATTGTATTTGTCTTTGTACCTCTTTTCGGTGGATTTCAGGATATCTGTATGATTTAGTGTAAATGGGTATTTCATCGCTTGTACGTATATGATGCTTAATTTTGCTCGTAAAAGTTAAGTAATTACCATCTATGTGAAATATGTCTGAATACTCTCTTACTAACTTGGTGATTGCGTCTTTTTCTTCAGAGTTCATATGCTCTGTCCTAATTTTGGAAATATCAAATTTATATTTTGAAAGTTCAAAGAATTAATATTCGGTGGATCAGAATTTTCTGAAACTTCGTAATTTTCAAAATTTTCTACATCTATTGGTCGAGATATGTCAAGAGAAATCTGTTCTTCAGATAAATTTAATACTGTGCAAATCGCTTCGTGATTTTTCACTGTAGTAAGACATTCAGGGATTTCTAAACATGATAATTTTCTGTATGGAATAATAGCATTACCATTTTTTAAATTTTTTATCTTAACCTTAATTATCTGTTCTGTTCTAGGTGGAACAGTGATAACATTAGAAGAATTTTTTGTAATCTCGTGATATTGCATGGGTATCCTTGTTGTGGGTGTGACTAAAAGATTATTGCTCAAATCAATGTTGGCATTCAATATCTCTTTCAGGTTATCGAGTCCTAAAAGGCATTGGAAATGTTCGTGAAACTTAAATAAATGAAATTTCATGAGAATATTTGGATTCTTAAAAATCTTTGGACAAGGTATTGTCATACTATATTGTTCGATAGATGAACCATGTGCTGAAGTGATTTGGAATGGGTCTTTTTGAATATGTCTTGAAAATAATTTTTCGCAATTTCAGGGTGTATGAAAGATCTTGTACTTCCAGTGTCAATCAATACTTTGAGATTATACTCCGGAAATACAATGTATGGTAGTTTGCTACATTTGTCGGTTAAACTCATAATTTCAATTGACTTGGGTGGTCCGTTGAGATTTGTGGTTGTCTCTGTTCCGAGGCTTCTTGCCCTAAAAAATTGTCAGAATTATTCTGAGAATAAGCGCATTCATAACTGTCATCATTTGGAAATTCTACAACAGGTTGGTCTTGTACACACAAGTTAAACATAGCCTGTTCTGCGTTTACACCAGGTCTGTTAAAATTTCTACCTTGAAAATTTGGTTGCTGATACGTCTGTCTAGTGGATGTACTCATCGGAGTAGGCCTTGGCAGATTATTGATCTGATTAGGTCTAAAAACGTTATTATTGTGAAAATTCGTTCTATTCTGATTAGGATTATTTGGTCGTACATTATTAGGACTAAATTGTCTTTGTAATACTGGACGCTGTACCGCTTGGTATTGATTCCTATAATTACCAAAGTTGTTGTTATATGGTAGTTCGCCATATGCATATTATTTCGATTAACATTTTTATGTTTATCTACCTTATGATCAAGCTGAAAGTCGTTAGTTAATATATTCAGAGCTTCATTCAAGTCTGTAGGATTTTTCGTCCTCATGAGCGATCCTAGAGGTTCCTTTAAACCTTTTAGAAATACTCTTAATGCTACGCTTTTGCAAAAATTACATATTATCTGAGCTTCTTCACTCACACAATGTGTAGTTAAAAATGATATTTGTAAATTCAATAAACTCTGAACTTTGTTATAAAATTCAAAGGGGGTTTCATTGTTCTGTTTCAATTCACACAATTCTATATTTAGAGTAAATACGTCACGCTTGTCTTGATATGTATTTAAAAGTGCAGTTTTCAAGTCTGTCCAATTTTTTATGATATTGCTACTAATATTTAAAGCTGCATTACCTTTGATTTTCGCTAAAATACTACTCATAAGATATTCGTTCTGGAAGTCATTTTCATCCTCTAATCTATAAAATTTATTCACTAACTTTTCGCAAATATCTATGAATCTTGGTAATAATTCTTGTTGACCATAAAATTCGGGTATCATGTTAAGATACTCTGGGCGTAATGACATGCTTGATTGATTTACTTGACTGTTGTTCATATTGACTGTACTATTTAGTATACTAGGTCTTAATTGCAAATTCCTTAAACTATGTTGGATATGTTCCGTATCCGACTGTGAGTCCGAATCAGTGTCACTCAATATATCATCAAACAGCTTTTGATTGTTTTCACCCCTGTAAGACATTCGTACTTACAGTAGTAATCCAATCCGTCCCATGTGTCCGTATGCCTGGGCCACTGCTGGGTTGCCTGTCCTGGAGCAGATGTTCCTTCTGTCCTCTGGGCTGCTGTCGTCTTGGTTTCTCGATTTGGGTAGGGTTCTATCCCAAATCTGGTTCCGGTGATCACGGTAACGATATCGATATTCCGTCGGATCGTTCGCGACCAATCGCGGTTGGTTTCGTTATAGCCAGTAAACCGTTGAAACGAACCGAAAAATGTCCCTTTTTTCGTCTGACTATCCTACTGGCTGCGCCACTCAAATATCTTTCTTCAACGAAAACGTTTTTAAAAAAAGATTTATTTTTGAGAAAGACCAAATACAATGATGTTAATTGAATGAGTTCTGAATCGAGACTGACTGCAAAGTTCATTATACAAACCAAAGTAAAGAACAAATGAAATACAATACTGTAACTGATAAGAAAGGCACGTGGAGGCAAAAGTCCTTGTTCAGCATATTCTTCTCTGTAGACTGGTACATAACTTATATAAATAGCCTAGATTTTTCTTAGCAGCTGCCACTATTGAAGTTCCTGCCACATCAAGTCCTCGGTGACCGGCCAGCCAAAATGAACGGCTCTTAGGCAGAACTCGGAAATTCATCGACACCTGATGAGCGTTAGCACGCTTTTTGTTCATCAACATACAGTGTTTTGGATCCATTAAACTGTACAAGATTGTTGTGCTGCCACACATATGCTATGATAATTTCGTTACAGACATCATTTACAATCAGGAGGCGAAGTTATCATGACGGATAATATGTACGATGGCAAGAAGACATCGAAATTTACTTAATGGCTCCTTAGATCCTTCTATGAGAGAGACATACTCTGACATACCCTGTATAACAAATCGTTTTATACCAGACTTGTCCTATTTCCAGTTACAAAACAGTATCCGCATATAGCTGTATAGGAGCACATGAGCAAAGCAACATAATATAGTAAGCATGCTGCCATTCCACACCGCATATAATATAAAATAAATGAATACAAACAATAAAATGGCGTTGTTTAGCACTCACGTTTCGCGTATAAACCTTGGCAAGCGTATTTCTTGTCGAGACATCTAGCAGGAAACCATTATGAAACGTCATTATCCAAGCAGAGCATTTATTTGCTCACGGACATGTTGAGGAAACCTGAATGGATCAAGAATTTAAAACCGGTCATTAACAAGTGGATGCTAAAAAATATCTTGAAATTTCAAGCGGCGGTATTTAAGCTGTCGTGCCGTTTAAGTCTTGGTAATCCAGTTGCATTTTTCCCAGTGGTTGGTTGTCGGGCAATATATCGATTAATAAAGATTAGAAATAATATATCCTTGGAACCATCTATCAAGTGAGATATGCCACAAGGAAGTTACTGTACAGAAATTAATGAAGATATTATAGCTTTGTTGATACAGCTATAGCATGTGATTAATTCTTGATCGTATACAAACCGTCCAAGGCCTAAGTTTTTGTCCCAAGACGATTTGAAAGCTGTCAGAAAATAACTTCAAGAATGCTGACGCTCTCTAATGTATAGCCTTCCAAAAACGTTTTAGAGACTGATTACGAATTTCTTTATAGAGTACCTTCTCTCACCGCTCTCCTCCATTTATTTTTTGAACAGGTCAAGAAGTAGTGAAGAGGTGACAGATAACTGCCCCCGAGACTGACAGTCGCCCACTACATTTTTGTGGGATATGTAGAAGTTAAGGACATTCTCTCATAAAGTAGGTATAGGCTATGAACTCAACATATTGACGTAATGTAGTTGGTAGATTCTTCAAAATTACATGGAGTAGTTGTCTCTGAAATCAGTCACTGGACAATTCTTGTAGTTGGTCCCGATAGTACAGTTCTATTCATAAAAAAAGCGTACACGAATTAGAATGAGAGGAAACCTTAACCTTATTTGCGTAAAACCGGCTTGTCTAAATGATTGTTTATTGGAGGTTATCACACGTCGTAGATTGTCAAAAATGCAAAGCATTGACGTCGGTGTAATTCATTTCGAAAATGCGTGGTGGTAACGTTTGATAAACTTTGACAGAAGAAAAAAAAATGCCTCGTCAGTTGTCTGAAAAGGCTCAAATTGTATCAAGAATCGAAGAAGGATGGTCAATCCGTGCTGTAGCGCAGTTGTATAATAGAAATAAAAAAACCATATTGAAAATTAAGCAACGCTGGGAACAGGAAGATTCCCTAAAGAGGAAAATTGGTTCAGGTCGTCCCAAACTTACCAACCCTGAACAGGATGCTGCTTTTTTGGGATATTTAAGAAATAATCCATTTGCAACTGTAAGGGATGCTGTTATTGATACAGCATTTCCTGCCTCCCAACTACCGCCAGCAGGAGAGTAATGAAATCTGAACTAAAATGTCACCCTGCTGCGAAAAAAATGTTTCTTAACGAAGAACGGCGACAATCAAGGATTATTTTTGCTTTAAATTATATATACCGCAATCCTCAATTTTGGAACAGGGTCATTTTTACTGATGAAAAGACGTTCCAGTCGACTTATAACGGCCAAATTCGTGTTTACCGTCCAAACAATACCAGGTTTGAAGAGCGATATACTAACCCCCTCAATTCTAGACCTGGGCGTTTCTCTGTAAATGTATGGGGCTGGATAAGTGTTCATGGACCTGGTGTTTGCTGGCGAATAGAGGGAAGATTTAATGCCGGAAATTACATTAACATTTTAGAAAACAAATTGTTACCAAGTGCTGAGCAAATATATCCCAATAATACGTTCATACTTCAACAAGATAATTGTCCAGTTCATACGGCCAATGCTGTAACCCACTGGTTTCAAACCCATAATGTGGAAGTGCTGCCTTGGGTCGCTTATAGTCCCGATATCAATCCAATCGAAAATATTTGGGGTATAATCGTAAAAAAAATATATAATCGAAATTTTAGGCCACAAAATTCAGAAGATTTATGGGAAATAATACATGCGTGCTGGGAAGAGCTTGATCCAAATATTGTATTAAATATAATTCAGTCAATTCCGAGTAGACTGGCTCAAGTAATAGAAAAACAGGGATATATGACCAAATATTAAATTTTATTTATTCTTGTTAATCGTTTTTTGTTTCTATTGTAATTTTTATAAAACTGTTAAGATGTAAAATAAAGAAATACATTTTTGTTACTGTATTGAACTAATGCCCGACGCCCATGCTTTGCATTTTTAATAACCTTTAACATGCGATAAGCCGGTTTTGCGCAAATAAGGTTAAGATTTCCTCTCATTCTAATTCGTGTACGCTTTTTTTATGAATACAACTGTACGAAAGGTTTTTTGTATTGGCGTAAGTATTTAAATAACGCATGGTAATATCAGCAAATAGTACAGCCACAAAATCATAAGTCTTATAAAGCATGTACGAGTAATAAAGCAAAATTCTGCTCATCTAGGTCAACAAATTTAAGGCATAGCAAGCTTATTAAACGTACGAGATTATTTACAAAGACTGCATAAATTACATTATCGTTTTCTGTATCTTAGATTATCAAGAAACAGTTCGATGAAGCGAGACCCCTGTGTTCTACAGAAGTAAATCTATTTACATTTATATGTAATACAATTTTATACCATGGTCAAAAAAATATTCAAGGCTTGCGATTATTTGTTGAAAATAAATGTAGCCTATGCATAATAATTAGCATTAGATTTTATCATCCTGAAACTTGTTCCTAGCAAACCTGTTGAAAGAGAGATTGCCCTCGTTGTGGATATTTTTTGAATAGAGGCCCATGAAATAATCCTTCATTATCGAAAATGTTATTCTCATCAGATATCAAAATCAAACGATATTGCCATCGTTTAACACGAAACACCCGCATCTTCTGAAAGATAGAAGCGCCATTTATGAGGCAGTAGCAGAATACAAAAATTAATTTAAACATCTACTTTGAAAAGGGTTAGAGTGTTTGGTTCTGCTACCGTATCATAGATGGTGCTAGGATCTTTAATATCTTTTAGACGCCGCTCTAATGACTTCAATTGGATATTTTCAGGCATTGATTAACGTATTCCACCTGAAGATACCTAATTAAACAGCGCCAAACGAGTTCTTTTTCTGATAGGAGCTACTCTAACAGACTCTTTGCTACGGCTGATCAGGAATAGCCTCAAAGCTCTAGTAGGGCCACCACATGAGCAGGCTGGGCATTGCGGAAGACGCTGAGTGCAAACTGTGCATGGAGGGAGATGAAACGGTCATGTATTGTGCAGATGCCCTGCAATTGCCAGAATCAGGTACAACATACTTGGAGACGTAGTTGAGCAAACTATCGCAAAATCCATCGCTACCTTGCAGATGCTCTGTCTCTGCCAGATAGCTAACATTTCAGACTCTTTCATTGTTCTATCGCTCAAATGGCACTCAATGAACGAACGCTCTTGATAATCAAGATGGCTGGCGGTAACAAACGCGAAACGATCCGGCCGTCCATTGTCTTCTGAAGATAAAACAACTACAGTTAGTGTTTGTATTGTTTCGGTTGAGCATTAACGAACAACGTGCGATAATTGTGCGGAGTGTGTGCGTCGGCCTCCTGCGATTATTATGGTCGCGTGTTTGCCATTATATGCTTGTTGCTTTATGCTGGTAGCACGAAGTGGTGGTGGAGGTTATCATATCATAACCAGATGCGCTTCCGCGTATCTGTAATGTTGGTATTGTTTGCTGATGGTACTGCTGATGATATGCTAACGATGGTACGGGCTTACCATGCAACCATTATAATATCGGAGCCATACAAAAAAATTGCGTCAAGTAAGTTGAGTCCGCACTTCCTAGGTGACGCCGTCATCAGTTAATAAAGGATTGTGTTCAGCACAAGTTAGACAATTTCAAGAAAAAGTCAGTTAGAAGTATGTATAACAAAGAAATTGAACTGTTCAAGTCAAACAGGTCCATACAATCAGTCCGTAGACATTCCTTCCCTACCCTATCGCTAGTGCATTTGGCAACGTTGAGTCTCCTCGATTCTTAACCCGGACAGACACAGCAGTGCGACACTCACCAAGACTGGTACGCCGCCGGGAGCAGAAGCAGATGCGTATTCAAAAAATGTATCTTAAGGGCAAATGTACGGGGAAATTATCATAGATGCATAGAATAAACATAATATCACATTTCCGAATTTTTTCGCGATTACAATACTTCCACACCAGTGGGCGTCAGAAGTAAGAATGGCATAAAGCAGACTGATTCGAAATATATTTACCCCTTGTGTATTGGTCATAGAAAATCGTAGTTTGATATACCCGACTTGCAGTCAGAAAGATGTAAGAGAAATTTTGCGCACTAACAAAGCAGCCAATTTGCAGTCTTTTTGCAACTGCCGGGTCTTGCAGAAAATCAATTAGTTGGATGTTTCGTGCAAGATTATCTGCAGTTGATTGAGTTTAATGCAAGACCCGGCAGTTGGAAGAAAATGACAAAAAGGATCAGATTTCTTGTTAATGTTCATGCGTCTGGTCAAGATTACTCTTGAATATTGCTGACTGTAAAACGGGTAGTATGCGGTACAACTGAGTATGGATGAAGTAACCTGACAGTGCTGAGCAGTTAATTTATTTTATTCTGCTCAGAATGATCGTGTATGTGTCTTTTTTACCTAAGATACGGGATGCAGGGGCTTCAACAGCATTAAAATGCATCAAAACCCTGCATCTATTGACATTTCGACAGAGAGGAATAAAGAATCACGGTGGAAAGGTCATTTACGGGACACAGGTACAGTATTGGACGTGGAATTGGTTTCTGTGGAACACCCTTTCTAACAATATGAGTTGAGTGGAAAAATTTATTGACTACCGTGTATATTATACGTCCAGAGGTTTCCACTGTCCACCTGCAAAAAATTATAGAAGACACTTGTGATATGAAGATCAACTATACGAGACTCTCTGAACGAAGGTGTGAGTTTTATACATAATATTCACAATTGACCTTTGTGGCGAGATTGCAGAAGCTCCCTATTAATGTACCTCTCCATTAACCAATTTTCTACTTACAAACAACAGATCATTTGGCAATTACAAATAAAAAACTGAATACGTTCAACAATGCTGAGGCTTATTACCTACATCTACATAATAACCCTCTAGATATTATATAATATTATAATTCGCTGTGCCCCAATAACGGCTTTGTACGCTCAGAGCAGACCTATCATCTTCCAATTAGTTCTGTTCGGATATAGCAATACACTTAGGCTCTGAACACATGCTCCTTTTCGACTAATTCTTTATTAATTCTTAATACGAGAAGTATCCAAACAGTTAAGAAAACAGGAAAATCCTAAGAAAAGATAAATCAAGCTAACAAAAATAGAAAACATACAAAAAGCAGTTGATTCCATCTAAAGGAAAAGACAAACAAGAAAAAGAAGTAAAAAACATATTCGCTCGAGTACCATAAATTGTTTAAGTAATTCCTAGCTACTCCCAGAATGTTGTTCAAACTGCAAGCATGTATATTATAATAGTTAGATATTGCAATGAAAGTTTCCCACATTACATTCCTAACACTTGAAGATTTAGCTTCGCCAGGCCTTCCCAGTATCACAAGAGGTCCACTAGGATTTCCGCATGTTCTTTAACGAATCAACAAGTGTCCTCTTCTGCTAGATCCTTGAGCCTCATATGTCGATTTAGATAACCGTGCCTTTCTGGCTCTTAAGGCCTATGGATTGCTTCCGAGCAAGTCGTGTTTTTGAAGTCTTTTCCTGCCTTTGCCTGAACCTGTTGTAGTTATCCTAAGCTACTACATAGATTTGATTATCAGTCTTTGGAAAAGCGTAGATCTTAGTTATCTCCACTATTTTTGCATAAGCTATGGGAAAATCGATTCTTCAATGTTGTTGGCTGAGGTAGATATTGTGGTCCCCAGAATAGGATTTAGGTATTTTAATACATTCCTGTGGAAAAGAGCTCAAACTAATTCACTATCGAAGGTTTTGATTAATTTTGTGTTCCGAAATGCCAATAAAGTTGCGAGTATATGCAATATTGTTGCTATATTACCTAGACTTATATACATCCACATTTTGGTCTTAACTCCTGATTCCATGTTCATCTTCAGTTTTCTAGCCGTCTGTGTGCCAGTAGCATTTGGCATCTTAGTGTTCTTCTCAAATTGGTTAGGGCTTCTTCTGGCATACGAACTGAATTAAGCAAGAATTACAGCGGTAATAACGTGTGTTCAGGATCTTATTTTCCGCGGCAAATTTTCTGGCCAAATTAGTGAATAGTCGTCGGCACTGCGAGGCGAATTCTTCATCCTTACTCGTACTCGTGCATTAGATTCGCCTCAGAACTCGGTTCAGATAATTGCAGTAT